ATTCCTCGGGCGAAGTCCGTATTTATGCACCGATTGAGCTCACGTGGTTTGTGATGACGTGGCCTGTATCATCAGAGCCTGCGCATTCTGTTGGCTGTTGCTAAACCATATCCTGTTTAGCGCCATTGCCTCTTCTTTTCTGTTGAAATTGCCGTCGTGTTTGTGGATTTCAATCGCTTCTCGGATTAGTTGGGGGCGATAGTCTGTTGTTGTGGCCAGGACCTGTGCCTCTCCGAAATAGATGTTGTGTGTTCCATCACTGTCCCAGTTTACAATTACGTCGGTGTTGACTAACCCTAGACATTCTCGGATCTTTGTTGTGGGCTTGTAGACTGTTCTTATGTTCTGTTTCCTCAGGAGCCTCCCAATTCTGTCCGTAACCCTGGGAACAAAGGGCAGGAAAGCTTTCATAGTGGATTCACTTTTTTCCGCACGGCCCACTCCTACAGCTTTTTTGATGTCCAACTGGGAATAACCGTTCTGAAGAAAAGCTTTTTCCAGGTGCTGTAGTTCTGTAGTTAGATGTTGTGGCCCACATATTTTTCCGGATAGAGAGTGTAGAAAGGGACATAGTTTAACCACGTATTCTACGTTCGAAAATAATCCTAGTTTGCTTGATGAATGATATCTTAAAAATGCTTCCTTATAGATTTACAAGGTGTTGAAATTTAATTTAAAAATGCAAAATGATAAATTTCTTCAAACGCAGAGATATTTTAACGAAATTTTCCAGGGACCAAGCAAGCTTAAAATAATTTTGGAAAATTTTGTTAGCGGCGTGCGTACTTGTGCGCTACCGAAATTGATAAAGAAAAATGGCACGCCACCGTATTTTTTATTGTTACAAATACTTTTCAAATTCCTTAATTTATTACAAATCAAAAATATCTCTTGAATTTTTTTGCTAAGACAAACGGTTGGAATTTTAAAGTAAGATTTGGACACATTTAAATGGGAACCACCAAAATAACCACCTTTTACAAAACATTTACACTTCTAAAATAGTAGGTGTATCTTTTTACGTGATTGATAATGCAAATGCAAGAAACGGCATTTAAAGATAGTGGACAGCATAGAGTAACATCCAACAAATATATTTTAGAAATTATGTAGGTACAGAAAATGTTCCCAGTTCTAATAATCCAGAAACTCATTGTTTTAAAAACCATTTTACCAGTTAAATCGAGTGAAGAAAGGCGCGTTGCATGAACGTTCATAAAAAGAATTTTGAAATATCGAGCTCGCACTTTTTCCTTCAACAATTTATGATATTAACCGATAAACAGGTAACGTTTCTTAAGCGGCTATTTTAGCTCTAGATTTACCTTCCATCAGTAGACCATTGCAAACAATTTACACATCCTTCATGGCCGTTCAATTCATGCTGAACTCCCAGCCTCTTTATTAGATCAAAACTGAAGTGACAATTTTGTTGAAGATGTTTGGACCCATCTCGATGAGTTTCCCTGTATTGAAGCATCTGTGGGAGGTTCATCCTGGTATTCAGTAATCTACGTGTTTTGTCCATAGCTCTAAAAAATGTTTGCTTAAATTATAAATTACAATATACCTTAAAATATTAAGTGAAAATTTAAGTTATTCCATATTCAATGTTTGGCACTATAAACCTTATGTCCAAATTTAAATAGAAACAGAAATTCACCTTTTAGTAACTATTTAATAAAATGTTGAACAGAAGTTGACAGTCTACTCTACATAGCAGAGACCAGAGACAAGTCTTGTCAGTACTTGTACATAGTTTTTAAATTCCAAAATTCACTTTGTTGACACGGACAATCACCTGATTTTGGAGGAGGAGGTAAGCAAAGGTCAGTCCGACGTTGCCGTTTACCACGAGTGGGTCATTTCTAATCTAACCCCAATTTTATTCGTTGGCAGGTTGCAGATGCAGATATTTTTTTCTTAACCGTCCGCATCAGTCCTAGCTTATTGCGCTTGCGCGTCTCGCTGCCATGTTGCCGCTATATTTGGTTTTTAACCGCCTAGCCTTGCTCGAATAGCGACGCCTAACCTCAGAGAAACTCATGTGGCGAACTCATAGAACAAGGCTTATCTATCTATAAGAACTCTATCCGCCACTTCTCAACTAGCAGCTCCAACCGAAACGCCATATATCTCACCGCATAAGATCTGCGGCGTTTCGATTCAAATAGCACTTCCAATCTATGTGCTCTATCGGCGGTGTCTAAGGCAGGGCTAGTATGTAATATAATATGCTAATAGTATGTAGTCTGTGGGGCTACCTAAGCCTTACTGATTAGTCCAATGGGTGTATACCAGGGACGAAACGCATGGTGTTTCAACGAGCGCCATAACCGTTTACTTCTTTTAAATTAATTGTTTCTGGTTAATGTTTGTTTGTGTTTAAGATTTATTTTTTTAAGATGCAATCCTATAGGAGAAAAAATGTTATGCTGCATATTTTTCTTATTTTTCACAGTCATGTATATAATTAAAGTGAAGGTCATGGACAACATTAAAATATATCTGTTCATTATTTTAGAAAGCAGAAAACAATAAAAAACAAACAAGATCCATGACTATTAAAACTCAAACTTAATTATATAAATCACTAACGGCCATTTGCACCAGTGAACCTAAGGCTCACCTTAACATAAGAGTGCAGTTAAGTGACAGAATTCGTTTGCACCACTGTCACCTAGCGTTAAGGCGAACCGTAACAGGCAAATAATTTAAGGGGAAGATGAAGTGCCGCTGATTGATTGATAAGTGGAACCTAAAGTCAGATTCCAGTCAGATTTGAAGACTAACCTCAAACAGAACTGATATTGCATAATTTTGCAGTTGCAGTATTTTGTTGCAAACAAGCCCATTTCTCATTATCAACCGATAATAATTAGTATATTCTCTGAACTAAACCATTTTATGATGAATGTGTTAAGTAATGATCTGTTATTTGATAATGATGACAGAGACCATGTGCGAGTTCCTAGACTAGTTTACGAGAAAACACTATTTGATATTTTTGATAATGTTCTGTTTTTTCAACGTGTTCCGTGTCAAAGTACACCGCACTTTTCATATCGAACCTCATAGAAGAGGAAGGTCTATTCTATCTATTTATATGTACCTCTGGTATATTTAAACGATATCTGTTAATTTCTGTTTATAGTCGATGGAGGATATAACATAAGGCCGTATTTATTAACTCCGTTACATCAGCCTGCAAATCGTGCAGAACAATTATTCAACGAGTCGCATATACGAATAAGAAATATAGTTGAGCGGATATTTGGTATCTGGTAAAGAGGATTCCCAGTCCTTGCATTCGGTTGTCGTCTAAAAATAGATACGGTTTTAATAATAAAATAATTGAGTAGAGAGCAAAATGAGGATCAGCCTCCTGATCGTGAAGATGTTGAACGCTCCATACATCTTATGCAATAAGATGAAGTACCTAACAGAAACAATATATTGTTGCAAGGGAATCAAACTTGGAGGGACTTAACTGATCCTATTTTAGATTCATTGATAAATAGCGATGAATTGAATTGAAAGTAATGCTTTTGATAAAGGACCAATATTATTAAATTGAAATAACTTATGATGCATTACTAAAACAAATGGAAAATAGCATTATTTGCTTAAGTGGTTTTTAAGTAATCCAATTTTAGCTTTTCCTACTGAAACTCGAACATGATTTTGTCCTGCTCTCTTTTGGCTAAAATGTTTTGAAGCTCCTCTTCATAACATAGCATTGTTCGCTTCCAACTGGGAGTCTAAGGTTTTTCCTTATAGGAAAAATGCAGACCGTTTTTTATTTTCAAATGACTCCATCTTTAATAATATATTATGAATTATTTATATTTGAGACGAAAACAGGAACGGCAACCTCGCATTCAGTTCTAAGATAAAGGTTATTTTGGAAAAAAAAGGCGGGAACAAAAGCCAGTTTGTCACTTTTAGCAACGTTGCCAGGTAAAACTTCATCTTAGCTGAGAATCACTTAATTGACAGCCATGCAAAGCTGTCTGTAGTTAGGGTTAACCTTAATCCAAAGTTATCCCTAGCTAAGAATAAGTTTTAAGGAAGACTGGTGCAAATGGCCGTAAGGATGGAATTCGCATGAATTTCAGCAACAGCCACTGAACTAAAAACGTGTTAGAATCCACAAGAATCCATGTTTTTCTGAAGTTATAATTTCGATCGCAATGGAAATATCAAACCGGCAACGCGGCAGTAAGACACGCAAGCGCAATCAGCCAGGACTGGTGCGGACGGTTAAGACAAAAATATCTGCTAAATATCGCTGTTAAAGGGAAAAAATATAATCGCCATCCATTGCGGCTAGTTGCCAAAAATGATATGAGATAACGATTTTTCTTCTAGGAAGACATTTTAACGGTGAAAACCGTTATTGACTCTTGATTGTTGATTAAAATCAACCAATAGGGTATCACAAAATTTCTGGCGATTTTACTATATAAAAGCGATGTCCAGAATCTTGCAATTAAAGCATATACTGGGATATTCTAGAAGGTGACCAATTTATACTTGCAATCTAAAAACGACCGGTTTTGTTCAACGAAACCATATATAAAAAGACATTTCGTCAAGTGCATCGAAAAAATGTGTCCGGAGTAATTGTCTCAATGGAAAAGCATAATTAATTATTTCTAAAACATCAATATCATCGTCTAATACAATTTCTTCTTGCAACTTTATTTTCCGAGTAGTTATCACACGAACCGACTAGAATCATCTAGAATTTGTTAGGACGAAAACAAAACCCGTCTGTATCTATAAAACCCTCAATTTCAAAAAATTATGTTATGTATTTAAACTAGTTTACAAAGGTCAAAACAGTCGACGGTGCATACCGTTTACGATTTTTAAACCAGTTTAAGGCTGAATCGCGATTAAAGTATGTCGATGCATACGGGCATAAATCGAATAAAATAGTTGTTTCCTAGTCTAGGGTTAGATTAGAAATGACCCACTAGTGGTAAACGGCAACGTTGGACTGTCCATAGATGAAGACAACTGTCCATGATACAAGAAATATATATATAATATATTTCTTGCGTCATGGGACTGTCCTATGTTTAGCTCCTCTTCCTCTCTTTGATTGGCTTTTTGTTCGAGGACAGCGCCCTCTACAAGCGGCGTTCTGCAGCCAGTACGGGCAATAGACGTAAAATTTCGTAAAGCCGGCCTCGGCTCTGAAGTTACTGCGTAAAATAAGTACTTGTTAACATAAAACACAATTGAAATAACGGTTACATTATTTTGTTTGTTACAAATCTTAATATCTACGCTTTAAATGATGTAGTGATCAGTTTATAATAATATAACTGAACCAAATGTCGCGCTGCTGCTAATTCGAATTTCGCGCAAATAATTGACGAAAAGGTCCCAATTTTCTTAAGTTGGTAACGAAACACGCTGCCCGGCAGGTCGAAGAATCAGAGACAATCACACGTGTTTTGGTGGTTTGTGATCGTAACTATAATGTCCGTTTCTGGACGTGTGGTGTAAGTTTTAATCTTGATTTTACGTCTACCAGAGATGGGTGAGTTTTTAACGATATGTCCTTCTTTTAGGAAACCTACGACACGTAGAGGAAAGAGGACACTGCAGAAAAGAGAGCCACAAGTTATTGAGGATCCCAAGCGGGCATTGTTTCTGAAAGGCCGGAAAACATCCGAATTAGTACGAAGAGCATTAAAAGATGTATATCAAATGAAAAAACCAGATGCATTAATGTTTGCAAAACGAAATGACATCACGGTATTTGAAGATCCCACACCATTGGAACGACATTGTAAAAAAAACGAGTGTGCCCACTTTTTGCTGGGTAGCCACAGCAAGAAACGTCCAAACAATTTAACTATTGGTAGGATGTTCAATTATGCATTATTGGACATGGTAGAATTACATATAGAATCATATAAAAGCTTGATGGATTTCATCGGGCCTAAAATGACATTAGGAATAAAATCGTGTTTGTTATTCAATGGACCCCAATGGGACGAGTCAGACGACCTGAAGATGTTGAGATCAATTTTCATTGACTTTTTCCATAGAGAGCAAATTGATGCAATCAGATTGCAAGGCATTGAACACACATTGAGCTTCAGTGTTACTCCTGCCGGCATCATTTGCCTACGATCCTATAAAGTATTGCTTAAAAAGTCAGGATTAAGTATACCACGAGTAGAACTCGAGGAAATTGGTGAGTACACTATTTAACAGAATTCATTTAGCTCATTTTCTAGTTAATGTCATCTCGCGATATGTCTTAAGAACATATTTTTAACCTTCAAGATACTACTTTTCAAACCACCACTTTTTCTCATCGCAATTCACTACTTTGCCATAAGAAAACAAAATGCGCCGTTATGTCCAGAACGTTAGTAGAATAGCTATTTATCGATATACAGGGTGGCCATTTTCTGAATCTTGCATGGGTAACTTCTACATTTTTAAAGATAGAATCCGTTAAATAGGCGAAATTGGGCAGAATTCGATTGTCTATTAATTACCGTTTTCAAAATTTAGGTACCTGATTTGGTTCCTGAAATATCTTGAAAAGGCAAGAAATCAACACTTTTAATTAGCACATATTACGTAAACTGCTTAACTTAGAAAAAAGTTAAAACTGCCCTGAGTACAACTTTTTGCGTTGAATCCAATAAACTAGTACTCGTTGTCATAGTCAACTTGATTTACGAGATCAAAAATAAAATTATGTTTTTTAAATAGTAATCATAGGCTGTGGGCCTTTTAAAATCCTTATTTTTTTCCGAATTTAACGATATAATTGTTTTACAAACTTCTTGTTGGGTATTTCGAATCAAAAATGTTTGTCTTTAAAAAAGACAGAATTTCCTCACGTCTTTTATTACATATTGATAAATAGTGCTCCTATTTCGCAATAAGAACGAATTA